TACATTTCTTTTCCTAGATTTGGGAAATTTTCTGCTGTAATTTCATTTAATAGATTTTCTATGCCATTAGTTTTGTATCTCAGCTCCTTCTACTGCATGGATTCTTTGGTCCCTACATTGCATCCTAGTTTTCTTGAAAGTTGTGGTCATGCTTATTATTTATTTTTAATTTTTTTGGCAGTACTGGGGTTTGAATTCAGGGCTTTGTACATGCCAGGCAGGTGCTCTACCATTTGAGCCACATCCTCAGCCCTTTTGCTTTCATTATTTTTCTAAAGCTGGCCTTGGCTGCGATCCTTCTATTTACGTTTTCTGTGTAGCTGGGATGACAGGTATGTACCATCATATTCGGCTTTTTATTGGTTGAGATGTTTCTTTCAAACTTTTTGCCTCGGCTGGCCTTGTACCATGATCCTCCTGATCTCTGCTTCCTGAGTAGATTATAGGCAGGAGGTGCCATGCCCAGTTTCTTTCTTTCTTTCTTGATTTCTGTCCAAATGCAGTATTTCATTTGTCTAAAATCCCTGATATTATTTCTTCTGCTTGGTTTGGTCTATTGGTGATGTTTTCCACTGAATTTTTAATATGATCCGCTAAGTTACTTCCAACATTTCTGTTTTTGTTTGTTTCCAGAATCTCATCTCAATATCCTTGCTAAAATTTTCATCCACATTGCTGACTTTGTCATCCTGGTGGTTTTTTTTTTTTTTTTTTGGTGGCACTGAGGTTTGAACTCAGGGCTTCATGCTTGCTGGGCAGGTGCTCTTACCACCCAGAGCTACACCTGGTTATAAGGAACCTTACAGGTTGTATGCTGTGCAGGTTCCCGCTTGCTTCTCAGTACCCGCAGTTTTGCCCCCAGGGGCATCAAGTGTCCAATCCTAGTGGTCCATAGATAACAGATTTGAATCTAAAACATAAAACTATAAAACATCTAGGAACAGGATAAAATGTTAGTACACAGTAATTGATGAACAATTCTTAGGCATGTCACTAAAAGTAAGATTCCTAAAAGAAAATTGATACATTGCACATCATCAAACTTTCTTTTGTTGTACTGGGATTTGAACTTAGGGCCTTGTGCTTGATAGGAAAGTACTCTACCACTTGAGCCATACTCCCAGCCCTTTTTACTTTTTAAGCTCATTTTTTCAGAGATGGACTTGGTTTTGCAGAGGGACAGCCTCAGACTGTAATCCTCATACTTCTGCCTCCTGTGTAATTTGGATTATAGATACGTGCCATACTCAGTTTGGTTTTTGAGATAGGGTCTCACTAACTTTTTTTCCACCAGGCTGGCTTTAAACTGCTATCCACCCGTCTCTACCTCCCATGTAGCTGGGATTACAAATCTGGGCCACCATGCCTTGGCAGTACTGGGGTTTGAACTCAGGGCCTTAGGCTTTCTAGGCAGGCGCTGTACCACTGAGTCACCTTGCCATCCCTTCTTTGTGACGGGTTTTTTTTTGAGGTAGGATCTTGATAACTATTTGCCTGGGCTGGCTTCAAACCTCAATTCTCCTGATTCTGCCTTCTAAGTAGCTTGGATTAGAAGCATTAGTTGCATGAGCAACTGGTATCCAGTTTGGCCTCAAACTCTTGATTCTCCTAACTATACCTCCCAATTCCTGAGATTACAGGCATGTGCCATTACCACCAGCTTGATAAAGAACTTACAAAAAAAAAAAGTACTCTCAAAATTCATTCACAAGAAAAGCAAATAGAAAATGAGCAAACGCATTTATATATATGCCTTTACATATGGTAAATGAGAACATGAAAATATGTTCAACCACACTAGCTATTGGGAAAATTCAAATTATGACCACCACCTATCAAAATAGCTAATACAAAGATCAGTGACAGATTGGAGGTGTGGCTCAAGTGGTAGAGCCCTTGCTTTGTAAGTGCAAAGCCCTGAATTTAAACACTGGTTCCACCAACAAAACAAACAACAAAATCCCCCCAAAACAGTGACAATACTAAATGCTGGTAACCATGCAAATAAACGGGATCTCTCCATCATTGCTGGTGGGAATATAAAATGGTACAATGGTTCCAGAAACATTCAACTGTTTCTTAAATAAAATGTATGATCTAGCATTTGTACTTCTGGCCTCTTATCCCAGATATATGAAAACTTAGTTCTATGTGAAAAGTACATGAGTATTCATAGCAACTTTGTAATTTCTCAGAATCAGAAACAACCAAATGTCCTTCAATAGGTGAAAGGTTAACTTGTACAATTCTACTGTGGGATACTACAGGGCAATAAATAGAAGCAAACTTGACACAACTTGGATGGCTCTGAAGGACATTACACTGAGTGAAAAACCCAACATCAAATGGTCACATAGTATTCTTTCACTCATCTAACACTCTAGAAATGAAGAATTTTAGATTTAGCTGTCAAATTGATTGCTGCCACAGGCTAGGAATCCTTTAAATAGAAGGGCAATTTTGACTGCAATTGGGGTACCACAAGGAAGATCTCTGTGTTCCTGGACTACTTCTATATCTTGATTTTTGTGGTGGTTACACAAATCTATGGCAGAAACATACATATGCACATTATACTGAGTTAATTTCTAGTTTTGATTTTGTACTATTGATTCATTCATTGAAAGGAGCAGGCTAAAAGGTATATTAGACCTCTGTAGTATTTTTCAACTTCTTGTGAGTTTGTAATTATTTCAAAATGAAAATTAAAAAAAGTCTGTTTCAATTCAAATACAAGCACTTGTTACAGATACGTTTAGGAAAAAAAATCCAACCTTCTGTAACTATGAATTATGATTTAGTTTTATGTGAAAAGTAAGCAAATATTGTTTTTATTCTTGTATCACACAGCAGAAGACCAAGTAACACAAAAGAAAAAAAAAATGTAAGCAACCAACACGGTAATGCGGTGAGTTAAAACCAATTCCTGCTGGGTGTGATTGCTTGTACCTATAACACCAGCTAGGGGTGCAGTATAGGAATCCAAGTCCAAGGGCAAATACACAAAGCCCTACATGAGAAATAACTAAAGCAAGAAGAGCTGGAGTCATGTCTCAAGTATTAAAGTGCTTACCTTACAAGAGTGAGGCCCTGAGTTCAAATTCCAGTACTAGCAAAAGAAAAAAAATTCTTTTTTTTGGGGGGTGTGGGGGAGTTTGCTGGGGATTGGACCAGTGTCTGCAGACCAGGCCAAAAAGGCTTTCTTCTTTTGAGCTGTATCCCAAACAACAATTTCCTTTATGTGGATGTATGATCTGACCTGATTTAAAAAGCGGGGTAGAGAACACTGTTGAGAAGCTATTTATACAAAAGCTTCTTTAAGAAATGAATTTTAAAACACTCATTTTCAATCCTTAAAATGTTTTTTGATTCCTTTTTTTTCTAGCAAGGAACAGAAAACCCCAACAGTTACCTACTGAAGTTCTTTTTTTTTTTTTAAATTAGCAAATATTAGTTGGGAGAGGGGCTTTCATTGTGATATTTACATATTTGCTTACAATGTATCTTAATGAGATTCACCCCTCCATCATTCTCCCTTAGAATTTCTGAAGTACAGTACAGATATACATCTTATCCTGTTAAGCACAGTATTCTCAGGAAAAGGGCTGTGTTTCATATAATTAAAAGTCAGTGACTTTTTACACTTTTGGTGCACTTTTCAGCATATTTTTGGCTTTTAGCTCACTTTGACTTAATAATTAAAAACATACCCTCCATCTGCATGTGGTGGTACATGCCTGTAATCCCAGCTATTGGGGAGGCAGAGGCAGGAGGATCAGCCAGGGCAAAGGTAGGGACATCCTGTCTCAAAAACAAAACAAAATAAATAAACCAAAAAAATCCAACACAAAGGATGGGAGCATTAACTCAACTGGTAGAGAATCTGCATGAACAGGTCCTGGGTTCAATCTCAGAACTGCAAAAAAAGAAAAAAGAAGAAAGAAAAAAAGAACTGTATGTATCTTATCATCTACCTGTCTGTCTATCATCTATCTATCTGTTGGGTCTGGGGGATCAGAAGACAAAATGAGTCAATGCCCCCATCCCCCATGAGGGCACTGTGGGCCCATATCCTGTAAAGGGACAGGCAGCTTTACAAGTCATGGCCCCCTGGGGATGCCTCAAAATGCCACAAGGCAGATAAACAGGAGGCTTTCACAGAGTTGTGTATATGTTCCTGCAGAGATATGTTAAGAGACCACTCCACCCCTGACTCCTGACTCCCCTCCCAACAAAAAGGACCAAATTAAAAAACCCCTCTACGTAAACAACCCTCTACTGGTAGCAGAGAGTTACCAATCTTCCGGGCTCTCTGCCCGTCTCTCGGGGTAGCTTTTCCTTTTTCTCTAATAAATCCTACTTGTGTGCAGACCTCGTCATCCCACGGGTCCATCCGCTGTCTCAGGAGCCAGTTCTTTGGCCAGCGAAGGCAAGGCCGACACCAGCCCGCTTCAAATCCATCTCCTCCAACGAGGCGTGAAATGACATGCCCAGAGCCACTATGCTAACGAAATTTGACGTCAATTTACATAAGGACGAAGTAATCCCTGCGCAGTACGCCGCCATCGCCTCTACAGGAGATAGGGAAATCTGCCCATGCGATTTGACGTCTTCGTTCCCACCCCCAACGGAAGTTGCCAAACTTTAGGGTTTAAGATAAAGTCTGAGATGCCTAGCCACATGAAGGCAATTTGCCCTTCGTGGTGCAACGGTACTTTTAACAGAAGGGAGGAAGGCCGAGTCCAAATCGGAAAAACTAAAGGGTGACATCCCGCCCCGTCCCCCCATTTGGAGAGCCTTCTCTGGTAGGGACCTTCCCAAACCTTGGAGCCTCCTGGCGGCCTCACCACACTTCTGGGCGGGACCGGGGGAGGGGCGGGGCCTCCTCGGGGATAAGATGGCGGCTGCGCGACGCTCGGGCCTGCCTCGGCCACCGCTCGGTGGCCGGAAGTCCTCCGGGCTTCGCCTGTAGGAAGCGGAAGTAAAGGGGCGGCCGGCGGCCGGGTTATCGCTCTGAGAGACCGGCTCGCGAGTTAGCGCCGCGGGAAAGGCGCGTGTCGGCCTCTCACTGGCGCAGCCTCCGCCGCCGCTGTCGCCGTGCCCCGCCCAGGCGTTGTCGCAGGCGCTGTAGTGGACGAAGCGCGGCCGGGGCATGGGCAGCAAAGGGGACGCGAACGCTGCGTGTGGCGCGGCTGCGCGGCGGGTGACAGGTACCCAGTGGTGGCGGGGGAGGCCTCATGGATGGGGCGAGGGTCCGGGGCGCGAGGCGACCCTGTGTCCGGGTCACCTTGGGCTTCTGCCTCTTCCTTGACTCAGTTTCCCCTGCAGTGTGTCAGCCCTCGCTCTCCCCGCGAGCGCCCACGCCGTCCTCAGGAGTGTTCCGAGGAATGCAGTGGTTCCTTGGGGGTGGCCTCGGGGTCTCTTTGGCGGGTCTTGAGCCTTCTTTGAAGAGCTTTGCAACTCACATGTCCAGACGCTGAAGGAGGAAGTGCCCTGACGTGAATTTAGATCTAGCCTGACCCTAAATAGATTGAGATCCAGCACTTTGCAGAACTTGGACTGGAGAACCTTTTGTAGGTTCCTGCTTTCCCTAAAAATGAATTCGAGGGCTCCATATTGGCTGCCGTTTTCATTTACTGCTGGAAATTGGATGGTTCCGTTTCACTTTTAGTGTGTAACCTGCCGGAAGAATATCTGCGTTCGTCGCCAGTGAGTTCTGGATGTGAAGTGCTCTTGTTCCTTGGGCGAAATCTCTAGCTTGTTTTGCATTCGTTGCCTGATTTGAGAAGAGCGTACTTTGGGCTTATGCCTTACTGTGTTCTGGAAACGTTCACTGGTGCACTTGCTAGCCAATTTTAGCACAAAATTCCCTGTTTTCTAGAAATACCTTGTACACTGGCAAACGTTTGAAGACACTTTAAATAGCTCATCTATTTAAAGATTAGCTCAAGGTGATTGTTGCCTTTCCACTTGGCTTGCTTTTGTTAAACTTGGCTGAAACTTTTTACTAAAGGAAGAAACCTTACTTTGTACAGTAGCAGGGTATCTTTGCGCACATGTAACTTGACAGGAATAAATGCAGCTAGGGAGAAAATTTAGTTGGAACTTTTCTGCAGTCCTGTCATTCGCATTTGGTGAATAGAAACTGACCTTTTAGCCTAGGTCAGTCAGATTTATGTGGTTTATAGCAAATGGTTCTGCTAACAGATACAAATGTATATTAATTTTAATTAGTTGATAAGTTAATTGGTTTCTTCTCAACTAGATGCTTCCTAATATTTTTCCTCACTACTGTTATATATGCCTAAGATGGCCTGGAATTGGCTATGCTGGCCTTGTACTTGAGATCCTCCTGCTTTGGTGTCCCTAGTGCTGATGACAAGCCTGTACCACCATGCCCGGCCATATTTTCTATATCTTATGGTAGATAAATGAGCAGGAGGCTGGTGTTTTAATTAAATGCAGTAGGATCTTACAGATAGTTGATGGTACAGTTGGACCTAGAGCTTATTAAAGAGTGTTTTCTGTTTATCCATCATGTCAGGAATATTTTGCCTATTATCATGCAGTGTCTTGTTGAACATCTGACAGTTGTTACTCAGACTACTCATCTTTCTAAGCCAAAATTTAAGGACCACTAGGCTCAGTATGATAAAGGATCTCATAAAACAAAGGCATCCTCAAACCAATGACCACTTCAGTGAGTGCCTCCTACACTACATATGGTGACCATAACCGACAAAATCTCTGCCTTTGAGGAGCTCACATTCAGCCCCTGAAGCCAACCTAAGAATAGATCTGTCAGGTTGGTTGGTTGGTTTGCTTTGGTCCCAGCTTCAGGCCTGCCCTCTTAGTTTCAGTCAAAATGTTCCTCTTTTACTTGTTCCAAAGGACTTGGCCCATGGAAAATCCTTGTACTTGCCTTGGTTCTCAAAGTAAAGCTCTTTGCTCAGTCTGAGTCTGCACATTGTGAATTTACATTTCTCTTAAGGTCAGACAGCTAAGGGAGATAGTGTGGTTCTGTAGGGCTTTAAAATAGGCAGGTGGAGATCCCAAGACTGTTCCATGTGCCCAAGGGACCAGTCTTTTTGAGTCTTCTTTTTCTTGTTTTTAAAGTGGGGATGGCTGTGCTTCATTCATTCATAAAGCATGTTTATGGAATATCTACTGTGTGCTAGGTACCAAGTTCTTTTTTTGTGGTCAATAAGGTAGACACGGTCGCCATCTTCAAAGAACTTCAGTCCCTGGGTAATGACATGTAAAGATTGAGTAACATGGGGTCTATAACACAATGCTCATCCTAGCATCATTGCTTGGGAAAGGCTAAGGTTTCCTAGGGCTCCTTTTGTCATGGCCCCTGTGCCCTTATTCTCTCTCCAGTTCTACTCTCTCCTTGCTTGCAGTCTGTCTAGGGTAACTGAGTAGTAGTGTCCAGTTGTCATCAGGAATCACCACTTGGGGAGATTACACATCTGTGCCCCTTCAGGACAAACTGTGAACATAACCAGAATCATAATACTGTTTAACACAGTTTATATGCTGTGTCTCCAATTTGGAAAGTCAATGACTTTGGTGGAAAATTTTTATTTTCTGGTCACAGAAGGTGCATATATTGTCAAGGCATACTTTTGATGGTGTATTATTCTATAATTTAGAAGGTAGTTTTTTTTTTTCTTATGATTCAGTGTTTTGCTACAATGATTGATTCTGGGACAATAATTGACACTTTACAAAGTGGATTTCATAGTGCCTTTTCATTTGCATGGTTACCCTGTGTGACACATTCTCTTATTCCTGTTTTACAGCCTGGGGGATGCTGAGCCAGTTGAATTGGCTATCTGCTTGTGGTTAAACTGCTAGTAAGGCAGAGGTTGGGAGGATTGTGGTTTGAGGTCAGCCCAGGCAAAAAGTTAGTGAGACCTCATCTCAAAAATAAACCAGGTGTGCATGTCTGTGGTCCCAACAACTTTGGAGACTTAGGTATGAAGATTTTGGTTCTAGGCTAGCCTTGGCCAAAAACCTTAAGATCCTACTTAAAAAATAAAGCAAGGCCCTGAGTTCAGATAATATCTAAACCAAACCAAACAATAACAAAAAACTGGTAAGTAGTGAACTCAGGAATTGATCACAACTCCCTGACTCTTAATAATAGGTTTTCTCTTTTCATTAACTATGTTTATTATATCATGCAGAGCAGGTTTCTAAGGCTGCAGTACATGGGCCTGTGGGAGAGGGTGTCCATGAATGAGTCCTAAGAGAGTTCTTGAGTGGTCTGAAGTTTTATGTAAAAGTTGAGGTCCTTGCCTCCTCTTTGGAAAATGTCAGTAACTTCACTAGGTTCTGAAAGGAGCCTGTGTTTGTCCGTCTGTTGTTCCCTGCCTCCTCAGCAGCCAGGAATCACTGCTAGTAGGTTTCATTGTTAAAAGTCTAATTTTTTAGCTTTATTTTCAGTGTATTTTATTTTTGAGCATGTATTTTGTTTTTGTAGAGTCTCTGTAATAGCTGTTATAAAATGTTGACTTAAAAACAATATTTCAGAGTACCTTTATTTACAGATGGAATGTTGAAATTATTTTTTGTTTGTTTCTACAGAAGTTGACAGTACCTGAACTTAAAACTCTTCTAAAAGCCATTTTTCTGTTTGATATAATTTATTTTGCTTTGTCCATTATTCTTCAAAAACTTTGTATGTTTTATGAAATATGATATTAGCACAAATTATAATACTTTTAGTAAAAAAGAGATAATAACTTCTTTCCCAATATGACCTGTCTCCCCATTAGATTTTATAAGCAGTATCAAGGAACCTAGGGTTAGACTAAGGTGAACCTTACTAGACACTAACATTCAGAAGCACAAGGACCATTTAGTGCTTTCTATATATTCTCATCTTCTTAATTTCCATTCAGATGGGTGGGACTTAGATGTGAACTCACTTTTATTTTTTGAGAGGTTGTGTCTCACAGTGTTGACCAGGGTGGCCTTGAACTGCAGGGCTCAAGCAATCCTGACCTTCCTGCCCTTTGCCTCCTAAGTAGGTAGGACTATAGAGTTACTTGTATCACCAAGCCCAGCAATTTGTTTTTTTTTTTCTTTTTGGGGTGCTAGTGCTGGGATATGAGGACCTCATACATGCTAGGCAAGCGCTTTATCACTGAGCTACAACCCCTGTGAATGCTGACTTTCATATAGCTTGGGAATGTCTGATTAGGGTTCTCGTAAGCAGGTTTCTGGCATAAAAAATCATACCAGAAAAATCTGCAACTGGAGACCTTTTTCTGAAATGGTCTAGATACTATATAAAATCTTAGTGTGCTTATAGAGGCCTCTGAGGGGAGCCAGGAGGCTGAATGCCACTTGCTAGTCACCAGACCTCCCATTTTATAGGTGGGGACGGGTGATCTAGAAATTTATTCAGTTCTTATATTTGCCCATTTTAGAACCTATTTTGGAATACATTTGAGACCCATTACATAGTTTCCCAGGGCTGCCATAACAAAGTACCACTAACTCGGTAGCTTAGAACAACAGAAATTTATTGACTCACAGTTTTAAAGGGCACAAGTCCTAAACTGAGTGTGGCAGCACCATATTCTCTCTGCAACTCTATAGGAAAAGGTCATTCCTTGTCTCTTCCAGCTTCTGGTACCCCCAAGCATTCCTTGGCTTCATAATTCCAGTGTCTAACTCTGTATTCACTGGTCATTTTTTCCGTGTCTTCTAATGCTTTCCTTCTGTGTGTCTTGCTTTGTTCAAGTGTCTCCCTTTTATAGCACCAGTTACATTGGATTAGTCTGTCCTGAAGACCTCATCTTAACTTGATCACCTCTGTAAAGACCCTATGTCCAAATAAGTTTACATTCTGAGGTACTGGAGGTTAGGTTTTCAATATATCTTTTGTTTTGGAGGATAAAATTTCAACCCATAACACCCTTTCACTATTTATGTTTAATCTGTATCAGTTTTATTTACTCTTGTGTTTATAAAGTATGGTTGTGTGCAACCTGCTATACAACCAGCTATATAGTATAGACCCCTCAGAAAGAGATGCGGAGCCTCTGTAGGAAAGAATGTGATGAACTGCTTATCCTTAAATAGGTGTCAGTCATTCAGCAAGTATCTGTTGGACTGTCTAGGTAGTAAGTGCTGTTATGCTTTAGAGATTTTTCTGTTTCTATAACTGTAATGCTATTTTGTGTCTCCAAGTATTGTTTGTTGTCTACAAGTCTAAAGGGTTAAACATTATCTCTTCTTCCTTATAGGACCTTACTATAAAATGGGATTTCTGATTGCATTCACTGGACTGTGGCTGCTCACCTCAGTAAAGGCAGATTCAAAAGCTATTACAACGTCTCTTACAACAAAGTGGTTTTCTACCCCACTGTTGTTAGAAGCCAGGTAAGGAGATGTTTTTCTGTTTCACATATTAGAGTATAAATGTAGGCTCTGCCAGCAAATGAATATTTATGAGCTTTTTAGCAAGTGTGATTGTGCTTTTCAGATGCATTTATTAAGAGTACTTTTTAGTGTTCACTATACTGTGTGCTGTAAAAAGGCTGTTAGAGCTTTGGTTCTGTCTTTAGGTAGCACAGGGCTGTATTGATTCATGGAGTTTTGGGAGCTGTGTTAGACAATTTATTGAATTGGTTAAAGTATTATGTTGTCTTCCAGGAAAAGCTGAAATGTGATAACAAGAGAAGAGATTTGTATTTAAAGGAAATTTTCTTCTTGTTTGGAGAAAGTTTTAAGAGCTACTTAAGGAAGAGAGCTTGGAAATGTGGGGAAAAAGGACATGCTTCTAAGAACTTGAAAGAAGACCACAGGATAAGAGAGTATAGGATGAAGGGGGGAGGGAATTGATGAGACCAGCAGGTATTATCTGTTCTAAGATGTGCATGTTGTACATCTTAACATTAACAATTTTAATACGAAGGTTATTTTTATTTACCTTTTTTTAATTCAGATGGTTCTACTTTGTACTCACTTCTCAGATGGGCATAGTAGCGCATGCCTGTAATCCTAGCTCTTGGTAGTATGAGGCAAGAGGGTTGCAAGTTTGAGGCTGGCCCAGACAAAAAGGTAGCGAGACCCTATTTTAAAAACAAAACAAAACCAGAAAGTGTTGGGGGTATGGCTCAAGTGGTAGAGGGCTTGCCAAGCTTGCGGGGAGCCCTGGGTCCAATCCCTAGTACTGTAAAACAAAAAACAAAACAAAATTTTAAATTAAAATTGGTAGCGTTTTTCATAAAATGTTGATATATCTTAAAATTAATAAAATACAATATTAGCCAATGATTTCTTAGAAAAGTCTTGTATTCTAAGTGTGTGTCTTAGCTAATGTTTATAATATAAATCCCCTGGGGTACTTCTTTAGATAGCCAGTTTTTATGATTATGCATTTTTTTTTTTTTGTCGTAGTAGAGATTGAATCCAGGAGGCAAACACTGTACCACTTGAGCTACACCCCTATCACCCTTCCTAGCTTTCTTCCCTCCCCTCCCCTCCCCTCCCCTCCCCTCCCCTCCCTTCCCCTCCCTTCCCTTCCCTTCCCCGTTCCTCCTTCCCCCTTCCCCTTCCTTCCTTCTTTCCTTCCTTCCCTCCCTTCCTCCCTCCTTCCATCCCTTCTTCCTTCTTTTCTTTTTTCTTTCTTTTGTAATGAAAGTGATAGTGAAGTATTAGGAAAGGAGTATACTCTCATTAGACTGCAAGTGGGTCATCGGGTCTGTCTTCACTTCTCTCAGCAATGAAATAGGAAAAAAAAGAAAGGGAGAAACTTTACTAAAACAGATCACAAATACCTACTGTACATATTTCATAGTGATATTGCAGTAATGGATTTGATATATGTATCAGTACTTTATTAGGCAAGTATCATAAAAGTGAAGTTTGAGGTTGTAGACTGCTTGAGCTGGCACTCTAGTAACTGGAATTTTTTTTTTTTTTTTTTTTGGTGGTACTGGGGCTTGAACTCATGGTTTTGAGTTTGCTGTGTGGGAACTCTACCACTTGAGATGCATCCCCCATTCTTACTTTTTGCTGATCTTATGTTGGTTAATTTTGTCTTCTGCAAATCTGTCATTGAGATCTATAGTCTTTCTGAGTAATTTTGAACAATCACCTAAAAGATGGTTTATGATACTCTGTATACTATTCTTAAATGAATTACATTTCCTTTTCCTTTTATTTATGCTAACTAATTTCTTCATATTTGTACCTTGTCCTATGGCATATATCTATGGAATTTTGAGAAAGCATGCTGGAATTGTTGGACTTAATTTTTTTCCAGTTTCTTTGGTCACTATGGAATGGGAAGCTATAATGCTTCCTTCACCAACTTCCCCAGCACAGACATCTCTTTTCATTATCTCTCTGGTCATTTGCCATTTTGGATCATTATTTTTAAGTCTCTTCTCCAATGGCTGTTTTCAAACAGGTGGCCAAGGTACTGACACAGGCAAGTCAGAAAGGAGATCTGTTTATTTGAAACCACCTTTAGAGATAGCTGGGACCATTCTTCCCTCCCATGTCTGATGATGGATTGTGACATTTTGTCCATCTGGATGAGGATGAAGGATCTTAATCATCTTCTGCATACATGTCAGGGCATGAAGCTACTTCAGACCTTTTGTTTTCCTTGTATCTAGCCCTAAAGGACTAAAAAAAAATTCCTGTATATATTTTTAGATTGTGTCTGTTGTTTATGAATGGTTGTAGCTTTGTGGCTATCTATATATCTGTCCATCTGATTGAAGTAAAACATTGAATATGTTTTGAACAGCTGTAGTTTACTAATAGAAATATTAGATAAATAGCTATTGTTGAAATTGAAGCCAGCAATCATTTATTGGGTGTTTTCTCTCTGTCTCTGTGTGTGTGTGTGTGTGTGTGTGTGTATGTATTATATATATTTATATATATATATATATATAAAATTTTTTTTTTTTTTTGGTGGGACTGGGTTTGAACTCAGGTCTCCCTGCTTGCAAAGTAGGTGCTCTACCTCTTGAGTCGCACCTTCAGTCCATTTTGCTCCAGTTATTTTGGAGCCGGGGTTCTCCCAATATTTGCCTGGGCTAGCCTCAAACTGTGATCCTCCTGATCTCAACCTCCGAAGTAGCTAGGATTATAGATGTGAACCACCAGCGTCAGGTGGATGCTAGATAGTATCATGAGCCAAGATTATAGCATGATAGAAGTATAAATCAAATACCCTTGAATTTCTGTTCCAGCTTTTTCAATTATTAGTAAATGAAATACTAATACTAAATAAGATGCTAATGTAAGAAAACTACATTACCATCAGATTTGTGCTATCTGGATGACATTCAGGTTGTTTGTAGGGTTTTTTTTTCCATAGATGAAAAACTTAAGCAAGATCGTGATGTCTCCAAGTTGCAGGTTCTTTATAGTGTTTAGAAGATTTTTATGGCATGTACTATGGTTGTAATTGTGGGTGGCTGTGAGGATTTGTGGATATGGGTGCATGTTCCCAGCTCAGTGATTGTTATATTGCAGAGCTGCCTTAAATATTCTTTCCCCTTTCCCTTCTAGTCCTGTATAGAAGACCTGTTCTCATCTCCCACAATAATTTTGAAAATCTAGGAAAACAAGATTAGCATCAGATGTATGATATCGGGAATTTGTAGTTTTTTAAGTGGGGCTATGGATGAAAACTTTTTATTATGACATTTTGAAGTGTTTATGAATGTAGAAAATGATACAATGTGTTCTCCCTATACCTATCACTCACTTTTAATGATAATCAGAGCTGGGGTGTGGCTCTGTGGTAAGCACTGGCCTAGCATGTATGAAGCCTTGGGTTCTTTACCAAGCACCAGGGGGAAAAAAAAAAATCAAGTCCAATGATTACCACCACTCTCCCTCACTCACTGGTGTATTTTAAAGCAAATCCAGATATCATATAATTTCATCTATAAAACCACAAGGTTTTACTCAGCGGGAATGGTATTAGAAACTAAAAATCAAACTTAATTATAATGTAAAAAAATGATGGTGCTCCTTCTAATAATATGTTCTGTTTTCCTCCTGGATTACTTTAGTAGATATAGTAATTAATTTTCTCAAAACTATTCTCAGTTTTAATACCTAAGACTTATTTATTTAGTGTGTTCAAAAAGAATGTATGTTTCAAGAATTTTTTCCATAATTATTTGAAAAGTATGTATTTAGTGTGAGTGAATACTTGTTCTCACCAGAACTGATGAGTGTGTCATCCTACCTCCTCTGGTAGTTTATCTGGCTTTAATTCATGAACTTAGTGTTTATTTACATTTCATGACATATGTTAGTGCCTGTTTTCTTAGTATGTAAGTTATTCTAAGGTTGGTCTAGTGTTTATGTCAGTTACTCAAAAGCCTAGAAAAATACTACTTTCAAGGTGGCACTAAATAATTTAATACATTAATGATAATGGCTATTTTCAGAAACCTATTTTTAGAGAAGTTGTGCATTACCAGGAAATGTTTCTTATTTTTCCCATATTTCTGTGTCTAGCTGTGGAGTAGAGTGAGAGTTGTACACCCCAGTGTTGACAAGTAATGGGAAAGTCTTCCTTTGGCTAGGTAAGCTGAGATCCAGATCTGTAGTTTGCTTTAAGACAGTGAAAGATCACCACTACATCAGTACTATGACTTGGAAGGGAAGATAATCAATTTACATGAATCATCCATTCAGTTATTACATGTGTTTTCTTGTAGGGATTTTAGACCTTTTATATTTTTTTATTTTTTGGTGGTGTTGGGGTTTGAATTCAGAACTTTGTGCTTCCTAGGCAGGTGCTCTACTGCTTGAGCCTCACCTCCAACCCTTTTTCTTCCAGTTATTTGGAGATAGGGTCTCTCTTTTTGCCCAGACCAGACTGAACTGCAATCTTATTTTACACTTCCTGTGGTAGCTGGGATGACAAATGCATGCCACTACACCCAGCTTTTTTTCTGTTTTGATGAGGTCTCACAAACTTTTTTGCCCAGGTTGACCTGGAATGTCTATCCTCCATATCTCAGCCTCCATAGTAGCTTGTATTGCAAGTGTAAGCCACCAATGCCTGACTCCATTGGTTGATTTTGGGTTTTTTTTTTGGTAGTATTGGGGTTTGAACCAGGGTTTTATGCTTGTTAGGCAGGTGCTCTACCACTTGAGCCATGCCTCCAGCCTGGTTTTACACTGTAGAATGAAGAGAAATTCAGAATGGCCATTATTTTAGGTTAATAGTGTAAAAGGTGGGGAAAAAATGGCATTAAGTTTTTCACTCTGATTTTGTTAGAGCAGTGCTAATTTTAAAGTAAAATTTGGTGGTCTTGAAAAATTTGGATTTATAGATATTGAAAGATTTAGCATGATGCTTTTATTGTCCCGGAAATTTTTGTAGGGTTCATGATTACTGTGGAAGAACCTTAGGCAAGACATGTGTTTTGGTTTTTGTAAGGTCTTTCAGAAAACAAATGAGCAGAACTAGTACTATTTCCTAGTTTTGCTTCTATTACTGACATCATTTTTGCTAATGGGGTTTCATAAGCTTTGTTTGTATTGGGGCTTCTCTGTTGTTACAATTTTATTATTCCAGGTTTCTTAACAAATATTCTCCCATGTGAATTACGTTAATAAGTTACAAAGAGCTAATGAGGTAGTAGAATTTGCTCATCATTAAGAAAATATATATTATATATAAAGATGTATAGTGTATATAAATTAAAAGTCAAACTGTGGACATTTGAAAACTTTAAAACTTCTCTGTAGTAATGTAGTTGGTATTAGAAGATTTTATTGTTTCATTGCTGACATGTCTCCCTTTTCTCTCAGTGAGTTTTTAGCAGAAGACAGTCAAGAGAAATTTTGGAATTTTGTAGAAGCCAGTCAAAATATTGGATCATCAGATCATCACGGTAAAATTGAAGCAAATGCTTCTTTGACTTTGCTGTCTGGGAAAACATTAGAAAAATGGTCTCTTTTTTATAGTATATGTGACATGGCAGTTAATGGAAAAACATTTTTAATCTTTGATGACTAGAGTTGTGATGGTAGCCAGGAAGAACCAAAATCAACCCAAATAATTCTGTCTTTTTTTTTTTGGCAGTACTAGGGTTTAAACTCAGGGCCTCCGTGCTTCTGGTCTACCACTTAAGCCCTCTGCCAGCCTTTTTTTGTGTTGGGTATTTTTGAGATAGGGTCTCGTGAACTATTTTGCCTGGGCTGGCTATGAATCTCCAATCTTCCTGTTCTCTGCCTCCAAAGTAGTTAGGATTACAGGTGTGAGCCACTGGTGCCTGGCTTTATTTTATCTTATTTTTGGCGCTAGGGCTGAACTCAGGATCTTGTGCATGCTAAGCATATGCACTACCATTGAGCTACACTCCCATTCCCCAAAGACTGTACTAATACATTAAAAAAAATTTTTAAAAAAGAAATTACATCTTCATTTGTTGTTCAGACTGGCCCTAAACTGTTGTGCACAAGCAATCCTCCTGCCTCACTCTTTTGAGAAGCTGGAACAAAGTATGTACCATGTTGCTCAGCCCCAAATAATTTTTTTTGATTTAGTTTATAATTTTGACTATAAGCAGTACCTTTTTTCCTATTGTTTTTCTTTATTGTGTTCTTTTATTAAAGTGCTATGTGAATATTTTTGGGGGAAGTACATTTTATTTTAAATAATTTAGTATTTATCTAATATCCATCTGATTTGATTTATTCTTTTGTTATTAATTAATTTTACAACTGACCTATTGTGTTAAGTGTGTTATTAAGTTAGTGCCATCAAAAATGGACTGTCAGTTTACCAAATTAGTGACTCCTCATTAATGTGTCACACATTTACAGTTTCTTATGTGCTTTCACAAACACTTTCTAACTTGGTGTGAGCGATATAGGATGTAGACACTCCTGGTCAAAGATGTTGATGTATGAGTGCAGTCATGCATTGCATAACAATGCTTTGGTCAGTGATGGGCCATGTATGTGATGGTGGCCATGAAATTGTACTGCCTAGTGACCTTTGTTGCTGTCATAGCTTGTGTAAGTATACTATGTGATATTTACATAGTGACAAATTCACCCAACGATGTATTTCTTTGAATTTATCCTCTTGTTAAGTGATGCATGACTGCAGTTAAAGCCTCGACTGTTACATTCCTTATTCAAGAGGAAATGTTTGAAAACTGTATGACTGCTATTAATTTTAATGGAATTGATTTCTTAACTTTTAAATTTTTGTTAAAATAATATTTTAAGAGGCATCTGAATCTTTTTGTGATAGAAATACATAAAGGTTTTGAACAAGCATCTGTAAGTTTTAGTTATCTAATGTGTAGTCATCTGATAGTTAAGCTATCAAAACATTTTACTTACTGTAAGATTTCATGGAATAAATTTACCAAAATAGATTTATAATGAAATTTGAACTCTGATATCTAAAAACTTCCTTCAGTACAAATGATATGCTCTTGTCTAAAATTATAGGAATATGAATTCTTAGAAGTGATCATTAAAGCATATTAAATATTTTACTTATTTAAAATGTTATTCATATTCTTACCATTCAAAGATTGACTATTTAATATTCTGGCAACATTTTGAGTTTTTTTTTCTGGTCTGTTTTCTATGCAGAAGATGCTAATATAGTATAGATCTTTTATATTCTATTTTAAAAAGTGTTAGTACTTTTCCTTTTAAAATTAAAGACTTTATATTTTGGGGTGTCTAATATATGATACAGAAGTCAAAGCTGTATAAAAGGCTATACATGGAAAAATCTTGTTTTTTATCCATCTTCTTTCTTCCCTGCTTTTTAAACTTTTTAGATTAATTTATTTAGAGCCTTCAGTGTTTTCTTTACAACATATATATTCTCTTTTTGGTGGTACTGTTGTTTGTACTCAGGACTTTGTGCTTGCTAGGCAGGTACCCTACCATATGAGCCAGATCCCCATCCCCATATGTACTCTTTTTTTTCTTTCTTCTTTTGGTGGTGCTGGGGTTTGAGCTTACGGCTTGGTGGTTGCTGGTCAGGTGTTCTACCACATGAGCCATGCCTCCAAACCTTCTTTCTTTCTTTCTTTCTTTCTTTTTTTTTTTTTTTTTAATCGCGTCTTGCTGTTATGCCCTGTCTGGCCTGGACCATGATCCTCCTATTTCTGCTTGAGTAGCTGGGATGACAGGACCATGTCATCAGGGTTTCTATAACTTTTTGCCCCAGGCTGGCCTTGAACCTTGATCCTCCTAATCTCCGCCTCCTGAGTAGCTAACATTACAGATGTGAGCCACCATGCTTGCCTACATATATATTGTTATTTCTCATTTTTAACCTTTTGGCAAAAAAACCAGATTATTATGTACCTTGTTCTCTACCTTTGCTTTTCATTTATTTGGGGGGATTTTTTTCATGCTAGTATATAGATTTGTTTTTCTCCTCTCAAAAATTTGATCTAACTTTTTCTGTTTATGATCTCATCAGTATCCTTTACTATCTTGTATTTCCTCATTGTACTGCTCAGTTTCTTTTTGCAGTATTTGAGTAGGTAGCATATGCTAGATTCCAGTGATAACAAGGTAAAATGCCTGTCGGGGCACAAAGTCTAGCCAAGTCTAGGTAGACAGTGAATAAATAATGTGGCAAGTGTTATGAGAAATGAAAGAGTTAGGGAAAGAAGTATTCTCGGATTGAAGAAGAGACGTAACTCATTGAAGCATGGGGTAGTGACCAGGGCAACTTCCCAAAGTAGGTGATTTCATTCTGAACTCTTCCTTTGAAAGTAGGTAGGAATATGACATCCAGGTAAGTAGGAAAACAGCAGTCCAGGTAAGGGAATAGTTTCAACAAATGGAGGAAGAGAGGAAAAGTCCATCTGTGTAGTGTAATACCTTTGCAATATATAGCTTTGTACTTTATGAACTATCTTATTTGGATAACTCTAGTCATATGCAATTATTTTGGTTAATGTTCTTTCTTGACAGGTACTGATTATTCCTATTATCATGCAATATTGGAAGCTGCATTTCAGTTTCTGTCACCTCTACAGCAGAATTTGTTGAAATTTTGTCTGTCTCTTCGTTCCTACTCAGCTACAGTTCAAGCCTTCCAGCAGGTAAGTCCAGTGCTTCTAGGGAACAGCGTTTTGTAGGCATATAGCATGATGATGTGATGATTAACTGATAGTTGCCTTACGGGCATTGAATTACAGAGATTATCACTTTTTTGCCTGTCGTTTCTCTGGGATGTATAATTTCTTGTTAAATAATAAAGCAAAACTGATATTAAATCTTCAAATCACAGATTCTTTAATTTTTTTTTTTTCCTTTCTTTTTCCAGTGCTGGGGATCCAACCCTGGGCTTTGCACGTTCTGGACAAATGCTCTAACCTCTGAACCATAACCCCAGCCCCAAATTATAGATTGTTAAGGATTATTTGTACTTGTTTTCATATGAGAAAGGAAAAAAAATATCCACACAAAAAAGAGACAACCAGACTTTGTTTATGTAACACTGCATAGGAGGTGTAATCTTGCAAAACCAGTGAACCTGAATGTGATCACAGCCTTTGGATCTAAAAGCAATTCACAGGAAATACAGGAGTCAGGAAATGTCAATCGACAGCACAGGAATGCAGTCAGAAAAATCTAGCATTAGAGAAACTTTGTAGTAAAGTGATATAGTTTGTTATATAACTGAAAACGGAAAAGAAAAAAGAGGGCCAGAGCAACTTCAGAAAAAATGTGCCCTCAGTGCGGGGACCTTGTTTGGATTTTTTTTTTTTCTTTTTTATTTGAGATAGGACCTATGTAGGTCAGCCTGGAATTTGCTGTGTAGCCTAGGCTGACCTGGAACTCCAGATCCTCCTGCTTTAGCCTCTCAAGTGCTGGATTACAGGCATTTGCTACCATGCCCAGCTTCATTGTGGTTTTGATTTCCTTAGTGACTAATGATTTGCAACATTTTTTTCACCCACTTAGTAACCATCCGTACATCTTTTTTTTTTTTTTTTTTTTGGGGCGGGACTTGAACTTAGGGCCTCATACTTGCCTAGGTAAGCGCTCTACCACTTCAGTTACTCTGCCAGTGATGTACATCTATTTTGGAGAAATGCTTATTCAGTTGCTGTGCCCATTTTTTAATTGGGCTGTTTGGTTTTCATTGTTGAATTGTAGGAGTTCTTTATGTATATTCTGGATGTCAGTTACTATCATATATCAGACAAATGATTTGTAAATATCAAACTCCAGCATTTTCCCTCCCTCGTCCCCTCCAAAAAACAAAGATTGGCGTTGTAGTATAGCTCAAGTGGTATAAAAGATGACCACAGGTCTTTTTCTTTTGGCCTAGTGATTCCCACCCCCCCCTACCCTTTTAAAATGAGTGTATTCTACCTAAATAGAACGTAGATGTTTCATATTATACTGTCTCACCTTTAATTCTATAAGTCACATATGTCTTCGTTGTTTACCACCAGTCCTACTGTCTGTAGCAATCAGTTAGCTTTTTTGATATTACTTACTGGTAGATTCTTCAAGGATTCATGAAAATATTTTCTCAGCTTTTTGCATTTTTATGTAATAGTTTCTACATGCCCTTTGTACTTAAAAATCTAGATATAAAAACTTATTTCATATTTTCTTCCCTTGAGTATCTTAAACTTCATTTTCGTTAAGCATGAAGTTTTCCTTCAGAAACTGTGATGATACTCTCCTTTTTTTTTCTTTTTTTAAAAATTTTTATTTTATTCATATGTGCATGCAATGTTTGGGTCATTTCTCCCCCCCTTCCCTCACACCCTCCCTTACCCGCCAAACCCCTACCTCTCCCCCCACCCCCTCGCTACCCGGCAGAAACTATTTTGCCCTTATCTCTAATTTTGTTGAAGAGAAAGTATAAGCAATAATAGGAAGGAACAAGGGTTTTTGCTGGTTGACATAAGGGTAGCTATACAGGGCATTGACTCACATTGATTTCCTGTGCGTGTGTGTTACCTTCTAGGTTAATTCTTTTTGATCTAACCTTTTCTCCAGTTCCTGGTCCCCTTTTCCTATTGCCCTCAGTTGCTTTTAAGGTATCTGCTTTAGTTTCTCTGCATTAAGGGCAACAAAAATGCTAGCTAGTTTTTAGGTGTCTTACCATATCCTCACCCCTCCCTTGTGTGCTCTCTTCTTTTCATGTGCTCATAGTGCAATCATTGTTGTGTTTGCCTTGATCAATGTCCACATATAGAAACATACGATTTTTGTCTTTTGGCCAGGCTAACCTCACTCAGAATGAGTTCTCCAATTCCATCCATTTACCAGCGAATTGATACATTTCGTTCTTCTTTCATGGCTGCATTAAATTCCATTGTGTATAGATACCACATTTTCTTAATCCATCGTCAGTGGTGGGGCATTTGCTGTTTCCATAACTGGCTTATGAATAGTGCCGCAAAAACACGGGTGTGCAGTGCCTCTGAGTAACAGTCTTTTGGATATCCCCAAGAGTGGTATTGCTGGATCAAATGGTAGATCGATGTCCAGCTGGCCACGGTCTTCATGTCTGTTTTTGTGCGAGTACCATGCTGTTTTTATTGTTACGTTTTGTAGTATAGTTTGAAGTCGGGATTGTGATACCTCTAGCATTGTCTTTTGACTGAGTATTGCCTTGGCTATCGTGCTCTTGTGTTTCCATGTAATTAACCAGTAGATTTTTCAATCTCTTTAAGAATGTCATTGAATTTTGTGGGAATTGCATTAAACATGTAGATTACTTTTGGGAGTATCGACATTTACTATGTTGATTCTACCAAGCCATGAGCATGGGAGAGCTCTCCATTTTCTATAGATCTTCCTCAATCTCTTTCTTCAGAAGTTTATAGTTTTCCTTTTAGAGGTTGTTGACATCCTTTTGTAGGTTTACAACTAGGTATTTGATTTTTTGAGGCTATTAAAATGGATTGTTTTCATATATTCTTTCTCAGTTTGTTCATTATTAGTGTATAGAAATGCTAATGATTTTCTATGTTGATTTTATATCTGCTACCTTGCTGTAACATTGATGAGTCTAGAAGCTTCTGAGTAGAGTTTTTGGGTCTTTAAGGTATAGGATCATGTCGTCTGAAATAGGGATATTTGACAGTTTCTTTACCCTATTTGTATTCTTTTATCCTTCTGCCTAATTGCTCTTGGCTAGGAATTCCAGTACTATTTGAAATAGGAGTGGAGATAGTGGGCATCCTTGTTAGTTCCTATTTTAGAGGAATGGTTTTATTTTTCTCCGTTAAGTATAATGCTGGCTGTAGGTTTGTCATATATAGCTTTTATAATGTTTCTAGATACTCTCCTTTTTTTCCCTTGAAAATTTCTTGTACTTTTTTTTCTTTTTTGGTGGTGGTGGGGATGAAACCCAAGGCCATGTACATGCAAATGTTCTACCTCTGAATTTCATCCTTCGTCCCCTTGCATTTTGGGTCAGAGGCCCAAAGGACTTGTTCTTTGAAGTTGCAATTTACTAGTGGTGATTCTTTTGGGTCAGTATTCTCAGGCACACATGTCCTTTTACTACAGAGTTTCAACTCATTTTTATCTGTCCTTTCAACTCATTTTTTATCACAGGATATTTTACTTACATTGTAGTTTATTTGTTTTTTCTTCGTTTTGTTTATCTTCTCCAGTGATACATGTCATCTGTATCTTGAATTTTTTTTTCCTGCTTATCTTCATTACTGGTCATATTCTCTTGAGAATACCTCTGTTCTTACATTTTTTAATTAAGGTTTTTTTTTTTTTCTCCCTGCTGAGAGTATGGCTCAGTGGTAAAGTGCCTGCCTGGCATGCATGATGCCCTGAGTTCAAACTCTGTATTGCCAGAAAAAAATTTTTTGTCTCCTTTTGTGTGTGTGTGTGTGTGTGTGTGTGTGTGTGGTGTGTTGGTGATAGATGTTGAACCCATGGCCTTATGCATGCTACTACTAAACTCTACCACTGGCCATTCTCTAATTTCTAAAGTCATTACTCATGATGTTTATTTTGTTCTTCCAGTTTAGTTTCCATTTGTGAAGTTATTATTCTTTTATTTCTAATTCCTTTATATATTTATTTTTTTTGACGATACTGGGGTTTGAACTCAGGGCCTTATGATTGCTAGGCATGCACTCTACCACTTGAACCACTCTGCAGCCCGATTTTGTCACAAACATACAATTTGTGCATTTTTTATGTTTAATTCCTAAGGCATGTTTACATGTTGTTTTATAATTAGTACATTACATGTTTAAAGTCTTCTTGGTTAAATTTATGACATTATGCTTTCATTGACTGTAGCTATACTGTTCAGTATGGTAGCTGTAGCCATGTGTTGCTCTTTAAATGTAAATAACTTAAAATTAAACAAAAAATTAGCCAGGTGCCAGTGGCTCATGTTTGAAATCGTAGCTACTTGGGAGGTTGAGATTGGGAGGATCACAGTTTGAGGCCAGCTCTGGTAAATAGTTGGAGAGACTCCCATCTCCATAATAACCAGAGCAAAATAAACTGGAGGGAGGGGTGGCTTAAGCGGTAGAGCATCTGCTTTGCAAATGTGAAGTCCTGACTTCAAACTGCAGTTTTATCAGAAAGAAAAAAATATTACATAAAAAATTTCCTGGTCAGTTGCACTAGCTACGTTTTAAGTGCTCAGAAGCCATATGTGATGAGTAGCTTCCAGTTTGGATGGTGCTGATGTAGACTGTTTCTGTAGATTCAGTAATTTCTAGTGTGTAGTGCTGGTCTATAAGGCTATTAGTTTGTTTGTTTTTATTCCCTTCGCAGTAGCTTTGAATGGGATTTGACAAAGAGCTTTTCTGTTCATTTTGATGTGCCAAGTTTTCCTTAGCTAGTAGAGGTTGACATGGCTCCCTCTCCTGTTGATTTTCGGTAGTGTTAAAATCTGTGAGGTGCTTTTTGAGATTTTTCTAATTGTTCTCCTCCACTTTTATTTGGATTTTCTCTTCTGTTGTCTGTCTCTGTCCTCAAATTTGATTCTAAGAGTTTCTTCTTTAAGTGGGGCCCTGTCCTGGAAGAGAGTTCTGGCTTGTGAATTTTGAAAGGTACAGAGCACCTACCACTACCTCAACACCTTTGAACTGTA